CACTAGTAATACAATCAGATATGGCAAGACTCAATTTCCCAAATACAAGTTCAGAAGCTAGAATTCAGGATTGAAAAATAACCCTAGTTCAAAATATGCACGCAATACGATTCATAATCCTGTAGCAGTCATGCAGTAACGAGCACCTGCTCCTATTCAGGTTCCCATCAGTAAGAAGCCCGGCTCCCTCTTAGGTTTCTATCCCACCTCCTGAACAAAGCAACTTTCTAAGGCCATTCTCTCAGGAAAACAGAGCTCACGTTGCTCAACAGCTGAACTTCAACCTGTATTCTAGACTGGCAGAACGTAAGTTTTATGATAGCCTAATGTTTCAACACCACCTTCCAGACTTACACCTTTACATAAGACCAATATTATGCGGTGACATACAATGCTACCAAAGGCAAGCCACTGTGCAGCCTTGACTCCTGCCATGGCAGGAGTGCACACATGAGGAACAGCTCCCATTTTCAGTGTATGTGTGTTTACCCAGTGTTATTTTGTTTATTACCTTTTTTTATTTGCTGCAGGGCACTTCAGCTCACTAGAGAGAGAGACAGACAGACAGACAGACAGACAGACGGAGGGAAAGTAAGAAAGCACCCCCGCAGGAGGATGGACATGCCTTTCTCTTCTCAGGATTTTGGGCACACATGCACATGCACCCAGCATCTTTTCCAAGCCTTCCGGTTCAGGACTCAAACTGCTTAGTCAGCCATGTGGGATTCAGCCAACATAACCACCACACCATGGGCTGGCCCTGTTTAATTCTTAGAATACCTCCATTCAGTAGGCACTATCATCATCCCCTCATTTTACAAGTAAGGAATCCAAGCATGGGATGTAGGCCACAGAGCAGTTTCCTCAACATGAATGTGGACATGCAGATACATCTACACTATTCTGAAAAAGGAGAAACACTCACCATACGATGGTTTGTCCACATGGATGGGTGAATTTAGAATATATGGACATGTAGTGCCAAATGGCTATCTTCCGTCTCTGGCCATTTCACTGAACATAACATCCTCTGAGTTCCCTTATGTTGCCGCAAATGGCAGGATGTCCCTTTTTTATGGCTGAATCGTATTCCACTGTATATATATAATATATTTTCTTTACACATTCAACTATTAATAACATTTCAGGTTGAGTCACATTCTGGCTGTGAGTACTACTGCAATGAACATAAGAGTACAGATTATCTCTTCAACATACCAAGCTCACTTCCTTTGTGTGTTTAAGATTTAACCCAAATGGGCCCAGGCAGACACCTTTGGAGAATTCTAGAAGCAAGGGTCTAACCCAGAAAGAAGTCTCAAAGGTTGTGCTGGAGAGTGGAAAGCCAATGACAAGGATCTGCATTAAGTAAGAGAAGGTCACAGAAAATAAAATTAAATAATCAAAATGGAAATGGAAAAACGTGTCCACAAAAGTTCAATTCAGTTTGTGCCAAGAAGGCTGCCACAGTTAAGAGAAAAGGCTGGACTGTTTTGCTTTCTATGAGTTTCAACCCACCAGAACAACATGCCAGCAGTGAATGGTGAATACAGAGACGAAAAAGGGGCATTCTCTTGACAGAAAGCTCCCTCCAGGGAGCAAGCCCAACTCAAGCCCACTCTCTCTATCACTATCATCGTTCCGGTTTCCAAGTATCAGCCTATCGCCTCTTCATTTCATTTGAGATGACTTTCCCCCAACCTATTTTCAAAGAGAGTATCATAAACTTTGAGGGAGAAAGAGTAAAGTGATGTTTTCAGCTAATTTACCCACTGAACAGCTTGTTCTTATCTCTTACAGTTTGGCTCAGAAATTTTTTGCATAATTCTCCTCTAACCTGCCTCATAAGAATAAAATGTGAAAGTAAATAGTTTCAAATAAACGTTAATAATAATCTTCCTTATTATCTCCTTCTGAAAGCTTACCCTTAAAAGTTATGGCCAAGGCATCAACTGGTGGTGTAGTCATTAAGGTGCTGGACTCCTACATGGCCAACCATGGTTCGCGTCCGGGACCCAGTGGCTTGAAACATTCCAGGAACGAGTGTGTGTGTCCCTACAATTCCAAGAGGAGAATGGAGGAGAAAGGATTATGGCATGGTCATGCCCCCTGGGAGAATGATTTCTTACTTCCTATCTCTCAGACTCTTTCTCTGTCTCTCCAGCAAACACACCTGCCCTATAGAAAAATCTCTCTCAAAAAACATTAACAATATGGGGCCAGGAGGTGGTGTGGTGGTTAAGGTGCTAGACTCTCACATGGCCAAGCACAGTTCAACTCCTAAGCTTGAAAGTCACGCCAGGCACATGTGCACAAAATCCTAAGAAGAGAATGGAGGAAAAGGGACTGCAGCATGGTAGTTTCCCCTAAGGGGTGATTTCTCACCTTCCCTCTCTCTGTCTCTCTCTGGCAAGCGTACACCAGGTGGAAAATATCTAAGAAAAAAAATTTTTTAAGTTACACACACTACACTTAAGGGCAGCAGTCCTCAACTAGGAGCCATTTTGGACAAGGGACATTTGGCAGTATTAGGGGGACCCTTTTGATCGTCACAACTGGGGGAGAGATGCTACTGCCATCACATCTAGCAGATACAGGCCAGTGACGCTGCCCAACAATCTCCAATGACCAGCACAGAACCCACAGCAGAGAACTGTCTGGCCTGAAGCGTCAACAGCGCCATGGAAGGAGAAGGTGTAAGTTAGAATGGTTTAAAACAAGAAAGAAAAATTAGCAAAGGCCTCAGACAGTAATAAAAAACAGCTTAATATTCTTTTATAGCTGCTATTCTTTTTCATAGACACAAATGGACAATGCACATACTGTAACTGGATATGAACACCCCAGGATTATCGACAGCTCGGGCACAGTGAAGGAGTAGCTGCGGCAGTCAGTGGGACTTGACGTCCCCATGCCAGACTCTTTGTTCTAGACATGGATTTCAAGTACACTCTGTCACTCGGCAAGAAAAAGGACTGATCAGATCTAATTCCCAACTATAAACCATCCTAACTGAATCAGAACACAAGTCCCCTCTCTGGCATTCTATCAGATGACAGATCAAGACGGAAATATCTTATCACTAAACGTCAACTCCAACTTTTTAAAAAACTGCTTTTTAAAAGAATTATATTTATTATGATCATTTTAATTAGCTATAGGGCACATGCACTCACCAGAGAGAGAAAGTGAGAAAGCAAGCCACCAGGTCTGGGACTCGAACCGCGGTTGGCCATGTGGGAACCCAGCACCTTAACCACCACACCACCGCTGCCTCCCCTTTTTTTTTCTTAAAGTTCTACACAAAATGGGGCTGGCAGGTGGCATGGTGGGTAAGGGCAATGGACTCCCACATGGCTGACCATGGTTTGAATCCCGAACCTGGTGGAGTTTTTTCTCACTTCCTCTCTCTCTCTCTGTTCCTCTCTGGTCAAATTTAAATAAATAAAGATAAAATAAAATAATTATTTTTTTTAAAGTTCTACACAAAACGTTAGTTCTTTGAGGTGAACTGTGATCAAGCTAAGACCAAGCCTTATTTTTGCCTCCCTCCTCAAACTGTGTATAACAATTCCCATCATTAAACATTCTCATTTACTGAGGGGTGGGAGAAGCCAAGAGGGGTAAGTAAAGTGAAGACGTGGGACTCAGAGGCAGCAGGTGGTGTGGTGGCTGGGGCTTTGAACCCCCACCTGGCCAACTCAGGTCAGAGTCCTGGACACAGTGACTTGAAACTCATGCCGTTCCAAATGCATGGGTGCCCAAAATCCCCAGAGAATGGACGAGAAGGGATTGCAGCGGCTATCCTCCCTGGAGGGTGATTTACTTCTCTCTCTCTCTCTCTCTCTCTCTCTTTGGAGTGCAGACACCCTATAACAAAACTCTCTCTCAAAGAAAAAAAAAAGTACCATTCGAACACTCACAAAGTGATAAAACACATTCAAAGGTAACAGACACACCTATTAGAATCACCACTTAGCGCATACAGCAGAAATCGCAACCCCGTGCAAAGAATCTTATGCTTTAAGTTAAGCAGTTATTTTACAACTTCCCGAGCTGAGTAAGGATCAAGTCCCACTGGCACAATTTTTACTACTTCTCCTCCCCCTCTCACTTTGTACTCCACGGAGCTGCACACCTCCGAGGTGACTCTCAGTCCCAGGAGAACCTCACCGCCAGGTCAGTGCTGGAAGCCGTTACCACCACTGAGCTTTCTCGGTCCTTCCGGTGAACAGGTAGGGTGAGCTGTGATGTCGGGGGAGAGCGCGCGAGCATCGGCACCACTAGCACCCAGACCACCCCGGCCTCAGAACAGGTCTCCTGGTGGGACCGGCACTGCCCTCTCTGGGTAGGTGGTCTCCGACTGGCTTCTATTCAAAGTCCACTCCAGGAGTGGCACTGGTGAAGCCACTCCTGCCTTCTGGGAGAGCCTTGCTATTCAATCTCAAAAGAGAGCTTTTTAAAATCCTTATGTAGTGGGACTAGCAGATGGTGGAATGGTTAGGTCGCTGGACTCTCACGTAGTCGATCAGGGTTTGAGTCCCTGACTCGGCAGCTTAAAACAGGCCGTCCGCCTGTGTGCGTGCCCAAGATCCGGAGACCTGTCTCTGTCTCTCCAGCAAGCATACGTACCCTATAACAAAAATCTCTCCCCCCCACCCCGAATAGTCCTCACGTAGTGAGCCTCCTCCTTGGAAGGCAGCTCCAGACACACTGTCACTGCCCACTAACAGTGAGATAGTGTAGCAGTGTCCAGAACACAGAACAGGGCGCCTCGGAGCGCTCCCAGGTGAGCACAGTAGGCTGTGTATACTCAGGTGTGTGTGGTCAGGAACGCATGCGCAAGCGCGCGCGGACACAGTGGTGCTGACCTGGAGAGCACGCCCAGGTGTGCAAATTCAGGTGTCCAGAAGCAAGGAGAAAGGGCCGGACGCTGGAAACTCCCGAACCCCAGCCATAGTCTCTGCGCCCCTGAACGGTGTCGCACCTCATCAACTCACCTCTTCCAGAAATTTGGTCAAGTCGTACACCTTGTGGTGCAGGATCACCCAGGTGCTTTTGCTGTGGTTATGCTTCTGAATCTCTTCCAAGGTGTAGTACTTCACGGCCTTGTCCGACTGCTCGGCCATCTCGGTCCGCGGAGAGACAGGCCCTGCACACACAGCCCAGCCGGGTGGAGCGACGCGAGCGACTCAGACAGCCCGACCCGGGACATTCCCCCAGGTCCCCACTGGGCGCCAGGGACTGGGCGCCGGGCTCCGCGGAGGGGCGGGCGGCGCCCGGCCGCCGCGGACTGGCCAGCATGCTTGCCACTCAAGGGGCCCCGCCCCTGCCCGACCCTCTCCGCCATTCCAGGCGCGCCCCCACCCAGCGCGCTGCTGCTGATTGGCTGCGGCGGGTGCCCTTCACAGTCACCCGCTGGCACAGCGCGCGGAGGGCGCGGCTCTGCGGAATCTGCGCCGAGGGCGGTGAGAGGGGTTAAAGGGCACAGCTGGTACGACCCAGCCTGTGCGAATTCCAACGTGACCCGGTGTTTCCTAATCAGATTAAATCAGACCCAGATCCCGACGTTAATTTGTAACGAAAGTAGTTACGCTCCAAGTCCATAAAGTGGCGGTCGGGGCGAACTGTGAGCGTGCACAAAAAGATGCCCTTTTAAAAAGGTTCACAGCTTAACCTCTGCGGAACCAACGCGTTGCCCAAAGAAGCTGACTTCACCGCCTAATTATGCCACACTGACTCCAGCCCAGGGTTTGGATTGCCTACTCTAAAAAAAAAAAAATCCAAGGACACTTTTTCATAACTAAAAGCGTCCAAGATAGTTTTGCAACTCTGAAGTAGTTTCCCCGCTGTTGACCAAGAACGCAGCATTAGTCTCTTATCTGTGTCCTTTTGACAGTGTGTGAAAAGGAATCATAAGCCTTGAAGTGCACTTGGAATATAGTATGGAAGAATCCCCACCACCTCCCCCCCAGCCGGGCACTCCCCTGCCTCCTCTGACAGAAGGAAAATTACCTGTTTCTGTCTCTATGTCTCTGTCTGTCTGGCGAGCGCAGGCGCCCTACAGTGAAAATCTCTCCAAAAAAAAAAAAAAAAAGAACCACTGTTCATGGTGGGAAAAAGGGGGCAAAGGGGATTCTAGCATTTTAGTAACATATAACAGAGGTGTAGCGATTACCTCAATCTGCAGCATTTTTCCATGCATAATATTTGCCTTCTGTATATCCTCTTCAGTGGAATCTTCATTTAAAAAAAAAAAGTTGAGTTTTGAGAATCCTTTTTATATACTAGATTTGAGTCCATTGTAGTCTCAGGACATTTTCTTCCAGTTTCTAGCTTGTCTTTCATTCTCTTAGTTTTTCTTAAAGAAGTTTTGAATTTTTAAAAGGTCACTTCATCACTTTTTCTTTCATTAATTATGCTTTTGGTGTCATGTATAGAACTCTTTATTTACTAGGTCCCAAATATTTTCTCATGTGTTATCTTCTAAAAACATAGTAATTTTACATTTATAACTATAATCAATTTTGACTTAATTTTTGTATAAGACCTACATGGAGGTGTGTTTTTCTTCTATCTAATTGTTCAAGCATCATTTATTAAAATACTGTCCTTCCTTCAATGCTTTTTAGCACCTTTTTCAAAAATTATTACTAGTTCCTTGTACTTGTATGGAGCCATTTCTGAGTTCTCTGTTCTGTTCCATTGATATATGTAACGATCCCTCTACCAATACCATATATCTTGATTAGTATACTTAGTCCTAAGAACAGGTGTAGGCATTCATGTTATTCTCTTTTTTATCCAGATCTGTTTTAGTTTGATAGAATTTTCCAGTGAAAGCATATGGGCCTACAGATTTCTTTTTAAGATTTTAAACTATCAGTATAATTTCCTTGATAATTATAGGACTATTTAAACTATCTTTATCAAACTGGGTGATAGGTTGTACTTTTCAAGGAATTGGTCCACTTCATCTAAGTTTTCAAATCTAGGTGTGTGGAGTTGTCCATAGCAGTCCTTTATTATCCTTTTGAAACCTGCAGGATCTGTAGTGATATTCTGTTTAATTCCTGATATCAGTAATTTGTGACTATTTTGTTTCTTTGTCAGCCTTGGTATAAGTTTATCAATTTCACTGGTCTTTTATAAGGGCCAGCTTTTGTTTCACTGATTTTTCTCCATTTTTCTTCTATCAGTTTCCTTCAGCTTGCTTTGAAATTTTTTTCTTCCTCTTTCACTTCCTAGTTTCTCAAGGTAGGAATTAAGGTTATTTATTTAAGAGTTTTTGTTTTTTTTCAAATATGTTCATTTAATGTAAATTTCCTATATGCTTTTTAATTTTAAATAGTGAAACAGATTATCCCTTCCCTAACAATTCTCAGGATTCTCTATATCCCCATGACTTTGGGCAGAGCCACCAGTCTCTTGAGTGAATGGGTTCTTCCATAAGCCAATATCAAGACTGCTTCAAATTTTACTCCAGAAGTGGTACAAAGCAAAAAACTTGGTTCCAGCAACCTGGACTCTAACCCTAATTTTGTAACTTATCAAATGCATGACTACGAACTAGGCAGTTGACTGTTCTAAGCCAGTTGCTTCTGAAATACTAAGCACAGGCCCTGGCACACAGAAGGCAATCGATGAATTTTAACTAGTGCCATTGCTATTATTGTGCAACAAAACTTCTTTATTCTAAAGCACAGGTATGAGGAAGTATCCTATCTGGCAGGTATTCCAAAGTGAAGTAACTCTAGGCAAATTTAGAGACAGACAAACCTGAGAAATTAAAGGAACACAAATATTTACAAATTCTCCTGACTTCCCTGACAGTAAAGACATTTTTATAAGTATTTAGAAAATCAATTCTAGTCCTAAAACTACTCAGGTTAAAAAAATATGCTGTAAAAAATACTGTCTTCAGGACCAGCAGTTGGCGTAATGGCTATGTCGCTGAACTCCCATGTAGTCGACATGGTTCAAATCCTGGACCCGGTGGCTTAAACTCATGCCAGGGTGGGGGTGTGCGTGATTTCTCGCTTTCTGTCTCTCTGTCTCTGTCTTTCTGGTGAATGTACACACCCTATAGCAAAAACCTCTCAAAAACAAAATAAATACTGTCTTCTCTACCATTATTAGACAAAAGTAATCACTGTTACTTTTTTATTCCTTTTCTAATTCCTTCTGCCACTCACACACAAGCTCTTTCCTGCCACTGGGCAAATATTGAGTTATTGGAAAAGTCATGAAGCATTTTTGCATAGAAAAGCATAGAAAAAATATGACATGACTTTTCCAACCTCATGACTTTTCTGATGAATAGAAATACTAATAGTTATACTAACTTATACAAAAATAAGCATTTGTGGGGCCAGCAGGTGGCTTGGTGGTTAAGGCACCAACTCCCACATGGCCAACCATAGTTGGAGCCCAAATTCCAGCAGCTTGAAAATTATACCAGGCATGTGTGTGTGTGTGTGTGTGTGTGTGTGTGTCCCAAATACCAAGAGGAAATATAGAAGGGACTGCGGCATGGCCACCACCCCAGTCCCTTGGGTGTGGGACAGGAATATCTCACTTTCCCTCTCTCTGTCTCTCTCTCTTCAGCAAGCTCACACACCCTATGGCAAAAAATAAAAAAATAAAGTAACTCCAATTCAAATATCTACATAGATAATTTGCATTATAGCCATCTTTTAAATACCATGTTAGCATATACTAGTATTTCCCTTCCAAAAATGTCTTTATCTCTAGTATATACCATATTTAGTTGATTTCTACACAATTCCTCATTTATTAGCTGCAATTCCTAAAATTTTCTAGATATTTTCAAATTTTTATTTTAAAATAAATAAAGTTGATTTTTTTTTTAATCTCATGTTTTGTTTTGGGTAATAGTTTGTCTTCCAAAGTTCATGTTTTGGAATTTGGTCCTATAGGGTAATGACTGAATCAATGGAAGTGTCACTTTCATTACTAGATTAATGCTGTCTCCTGAGCAAACTAGTGAGTTCTACCTTTCATGAAAAGGCGTTAGTTTTTACAACAGTGCACTGCTGTGAAACTCTCTGTATGTGCCCACCATCCTCTGTGCTCCTATTAGTTAGGTTGTAGGTTAGCTGGATGCCAGGCCTACACATTTGGACTTTCCAGCCACTAAAACTTGAGTCAAATGAACCTCTGTTCTCTTAAATTGACCCACTCTCAGGTATTCCCGTTAACAGAACAGACAGTGACATCCTGTGTGTATTTGTAACACATCAATATGTCTGTTGAGCGTCTCTGATTATTTGAGTCACATAGGCAGAATGAGGAACTAAGAGCAGGACAAAAAATTAATACAAATATCTTAAGTTCATTGTTAATATATCAGTAGTTCATTTTTTCTCAGTAACTTCAGACAATGATGAATTAGACATCTTACAGTAAATGTATGTTTGGACATATCTTCCTTGCAGGTCCATCTAGAAGTAGAAACAGGATGACGTTTGATTGTAGGACGTAGTTGTGATATTAAATTCATTACTTCATTCACTTATTAAGACAGGGTCTTGCCTTGTGGCATTCCTCTTTTCTCACCCTCTCAGTTTGGATTCAGACATGACACCAGTCCTGCTCCTTATTTTCTAGGTAGGGTTCTAGTTATGTTGTAAGCCTTAAATTCACCATCCTTTTCAGCCCAGAGTGGCTCTGGTTACAGGCACACACTACCATGCCTAGCCTTTAGGTTATACTGAGAAGGAAACCCGGGTCTCCCTCCCAGCCTACAGACTGCAGCATCTTAGCAGTGTGCCAATGCAGCAGGGCCTATCTTTTTTTTTGAGAGAGAGATTTTTGTTATAGAGTGCATGCACTTGCCAGATAGACAGAAATCACACCCCCCCAGGATTGTGCCACAATCCCTTCTCCTCCATCCTCCTCTTGGGATTTTGGGCATGCATACACACCAGTCCTGCACGTTTTAAGCCACTGGGTCCAGGACGCCAACCGAAGTTGAATAAGTAGGAGTCCTGACATAATCACTGTCATCTGCTGGTCCCGCTGGGTCTATTCTTTAAATCATTGCTGGCGGATTGGTTACCTTGCTGGACTCCCATGGCCAACATGGTTTCAGTGCCAGATCTGGTGGATTGAAAACCACGCCTTGGGGAGCTGGCAGGTAGTGTGGTGGTTAAGGGCACTGGATCTCACATGGCTGACCACATTCTAGTCTCAGACTTGGCAACTTGCTTTCTCACTTTCTATCTGTCCCTCGCTGGTCAAATTAAAATAGGTAAATAAATAAAGTAAATAAAAATAAAGAAAAGAAAAAAAGAGAAAACCACACCTGGTACAGGTGCACCCTTCTCCAGCAGAGAATGATTGCAGTGAGACCCTCCTGGGTGGCGTGTGTGTGTGTGTGTGTGTGTGTGTGTGTATTTCTCATGTCTCTGTCTCTGCTAGTGCACATCATGAGGCAAAACCCTCAAAAATAAATAAATGAATAAAGACATTCCAGTCGCTTCATACAGGCTTTAAGCCGTTCTAGTCACTGCAATCAGCATCACAAAGAAACTTGCAGAAGTTGCAAAGTGCAGACAGGAGAATCTGAGGAGAAACTGTTAAGCAAGAGGCCCGGACAGCCAGTGCACAGCAAGCAGGAGGCCCCAACCTGGGCTTCGCTGCCTGCTCGGGCCCACTCGCCACAGCACCTCCAGCTCTTCTCAGCGAAGCCTGTGCGCGGCTTTGTGGGATGGGTAGCTACCGCTGGCGGGAAAGCAAACCCGCACAGCGCGCGGGGCAGGCCGGGAGCACAGCGCGCGGGGCAGGCCGGGAGCACGCTGGGTGAGGGAATCTCTGAGGGCCGCCAACAAGGGTTTGAGGCGAGCA